CAAACATATAAACGCAGATAAACCCATGAACACTGATAAATACAGATAAACACTGATGAACACTGATAACACAAATAAACTGATAAACGCAGATAAACCCAAATAAACTGATAAACACAGATAAACACCGATGAACACTGATAAACATAAATAAACTGATAAACACAGATAAACACAAATAAACTGATAAATACAGATAAACACTGATGAACAGATAAACCCAAATAAACGGATTAAATACAGATAAACACTGATGAACACTGATGAACACAAATAAACACAAATAAACTGATAAATACAGATAAACTGATAAACGCAGATAAACACTGATGAACACTGATAAACAAATAAACTGATAAATACAGATAAACACTGATGAACACTGATGATAACCGGTGTTTTCAGAAAGCAAGCGCGTTTATCCGCAGTGGAGAGAGAGCGCGTGTACACAGGGTTGCTAGGTTGACAAAGATAAGTAACACATTCAGCAGATATTTCCGTATTGCGCAAGTGTAAAGCTCTGTTTTGGGGATTACGTCTCTTTATATCAGGCAACCCAGTTGTGTTCCTCTGCGGCCAGATTAAACCTTGTTGTAGCCTATATATTATTCTCTATTCATTATTTTTTAGAAACCTCGCAGGGCCAGCTGTATCGATACTCGTATCGTCAAATCTCTGTGACGATACATCGTCGTATCGATATTTTGAACACAGCACTAATAAACACTGATGAACACTGATAAACCCAAATAAACTGATAAATACAGATAAACACAGATGAACACTGATAAACACAAATAAACTGATAAACCCAAATAAACACTGATGAACACTGATGAACACAGATAAACCCAAATAAACTGATAAATACAGATAAACTGATGAACACTGATAATACAGATAAACAGATGAACACTGATAAACACAAATAAACCCAAATAAACGGATAAATACAGATAAACACTGATGAACACTGATAAACACAAATAAACTGATAAACACATTAAACACAAATAAACTGATAAATACAGATAAACACAGATGAACACTGATGAACAGAAATAAACTGATAAACACAGAAACACAGATGAACACTGATGAACACTGATGAACACTGATAAACACAAATAAACTGATAAATACAGATAAACACAGATGAACACTGATGAACAGAAATAAACTGATAAACACATAAATACAGATAAACACTGATAAACACTGATGAACACTGATAAACACAAATAAACGGATAAACACAGATTAACACTGATGAACACTGATAAACACAAATAAACTGATAAATACAGATAAACACTGATGAACACTGATAAACTGATAAACGCAGATAAACCCAAATAAACGGATGAATACAGATAAACACTGACGAACACTGATAAACACAAATAAACAGATAAACACTGATAAACACAGATAAACTGATAAACGCAGATAAACCCAAATAAACGGATAAATACAGATAAACACTGATGAACACAAATAAACTGATAAACGCAGATAAACCCAAATAAACGGATAAATACAGATAAACACTGATGAACACAAATAAACTGATAAACGCAGATAAACCCAAATAAACGGATAAATACAGATAAACACTGATGAACACAAATAAACTGATAAACGCAGATAAACCCAAATAAACGGATAAATACAGATAAACACTGATGAACACAAATAAACTGATAAACGCAGATAAACCCAAATAAACGGATAAATACAGATAAACACTGATGAACACAAATAAACACAGATAAACCCAAATAAACCGATAAATACAGATAAACACTGATGAACACAAATAAACTGATAACACAGATCAGAGATAAACACTGAGAGACTGCGAGTGAGATCTCAGTTTACAGCTCGAATCATCAGTAAACTGAGACTGAATGGAAGAATCGCACTGGGCTAATCAGGTTATTGGCGTTCTCGTATCTCGTTGTATAAAATACTTAGACTAGTTTTACAGCTTAGTCGTCTAATTTCTTCAAGACTGGCCATAACTATGTGAAGCCGGTTAAATAAGACGTAAAGTTAGATCGGTCTAATTTGAATCAGAAAATGGCTCATTAGCCCTTGGCTAACAGCTAGTGATCAGAGTAGTTAAGACAGGGTGGGTTAGTTAAGTTTATGCTACTGAATATGAATCCACTCACCAGTCTGCCGGCGACTAAACATCCGAACATCACCACGATTACTGCAGGAACACATTCGAGGAAGCAGATTGCAACAGAACCATCAGCTCACAGGATACTGCTAGAAACTTCCATAAGCAGCTGATAGGCGCGACCTCTGAACCGGAAACAAAACACAGCGCGCTTCGCTGATTGGACGATCAGGCGCGGTGCGTGCGTACAAAAACACCAGAACGAACGAAGTGTGATTTCGTAAGTATATTATATCGCAATATTTTATATGCACAATGTTTAACATAAATCATCTAGAACAGCTTTAATACAAATACTAAAAATATCATCACACTAGTACATTCAAAAGCACTGAGGAATAAGAGGAAAAACAGCAGAAGAGCCCAATTTAACTACCTCTAAATATATCAGCTTCATGTTATCAGTCGTCTTTTTTGCATTAGTCATGCAGTAATCAAAATTACTCAAATCTCAACATTTATAATGATGTAATGTGCATTTACCTGTAGGTCAATGCACATTAGATAAATTAAAGTTTTGATTAGTAGTAAAGCTAATAGTTTTTGTCTGAGATAGAAATGTTCCCGGTTTAATTCTAGAATTAGTGAATACTTGTTCACTGTTGATCACTATTAGTGTATAAAAAAAGTGTTGGGTTTAACTGAACAATTTGCTTAAGAAGAAAAAAACAAATGTTAATTTTTATTTTAAAAGCTTTGGTGGGTAAATTACCACAGTATATATCTAGTTTAAAGTGAAAAGTGACGTGACATGTGGCCAAGTATGGTTACCCATACTAGGAATTAGTGTTCAGCATTTAACCCATGCTTAGTGCACACACACAGCAGTGAACACGCGCACACACACACACACACACACGCACACACACACACACCGTGAACACACACCCGGAGCAGTGGGCAGCCATTTAATTAGTGAATACTTGTTCACTGTTGATCACTATTAGTGTATAAAAAAAGTGTTGGGTTTAACTGAACAATTTGCTTAAGAAGAAAAAAACAAATGTTAATTTTTATTTTAAAAGCTTTGGTGGGTAAATTACCACAGTATATATCTAGTTTAAAGTGAAAAGTGACGTGACATGTGGCCAAGTATGGTTACCCATACTAGGAATTAGTGTTCAGCATTTAACCCATGCTTAGTGCACACACACAGCAGTGAACACGCGCACACACACACACACACACACGCACACACACACACACCGTGAACACACACCCGGAGCAGTGGGCAGCCATTTTTTTTGCTGCGGCGCCCGGGGAGCAGTTGGGGGTTCGGTGCCTTGCTCAAGGGCACCTCAGTCGTGGTATTGAAGGTGGAAGAGAGCACTGTACATTCACTCCCCCCACCTACAATCCCTGCCGGCACGAGACTCGAACCCACAACCTTTGGGTTACGAGTCCGACTCTCTAACCATTAGGCCACGACTTCCCTGTTTGTTGTCATACTGCACAAATATTTAATACCAGATCAACAGATCAACTCTTAAGATGCCGATTTTTCATAGTTAGGTCGATCTGTTTATTATAATTATGCTCCGTGTACGGAACGAGCTTCATCTGGATTCTGTACCATCTCTCGCGGTTTAAAAATAGTTTAAAGTCTGTTTATATAGAAGAGTGCACATGTTGTAATAACTGACTAGGATTTGTATTGTTTTTAGACAATTGTGTTTTGTGTTTGTTCGTTGTGTGATGTGTGTTTCTCTGTATCTTCACCAGGACTCCCTCTTGTATCTCAGCAGGACCTTCCTGGTTAAATAAGTAAATAAAAATTTCACAACAATTTAAATGGGCTAGAAAAACTGAGCAAGGAATATAGGGTTATAAAAATAGATTTTATTGAAGTCAGACAAGAGAATGGCAAAGAAAACAGCGAAAGTCAAAAGCAAAGACAGCAGAACTCGGCGATCAATGATTCGAGCAGTGAAGGTCAGGAGACTCAGCGCAGCCGGTCCCAGCGCCAGATCGAGGCGTCGTCACACACAGCGATCAGAATACTGCTGTCCCGACTGAAGCTGGTCTGTCTGATCGCAGACGTGCATCTGGGGAGCGTGAGCGTCGTACACCTGAGCACAACACAAGCAGAGCTCAAGTACAGCACTAATACAGTGCTGTGGACAGCTCAAAGAGGAATCTTACTTTGCTTTATGAGGATCCTCCACTTCCAGGTCCCAAACGTACAGCTTCCCGACTTGATTTCCAAGAGCTAGCATCTGCGGAGGTGAAGATACACACTCTTCACTCATCGTCAGACGTTCTTACTAACCCTACTGTCAGTCACTTTCAGTTCACAAGTCTATCAAGAACCTCAAACCTTCTGCCAGAAGTCCATGGAGAAGCGCATGTACCAAATGTCACACTGACTGTAATCGAAGCGGCCCAGAATCGTCACATTAGACTCGTTGGGTTTGATGCGGTCGATGTCGTCTTCCATCTTCCCAGGTTTCCAACACACAATGGCATTTTCACATGACTACAAAACAACACACAGCAAATGATTACGGAGGAACTAATAATACACATCTGTGACCCTGGAGCACAAAAGCAGTGTTAAGTCGCTGGGGTATATTTGTAGCAATAGCCAACAATACATTGTATGGGTCACAATTATACATTTCTCTTTTATGCCAAAAATCATTAGGATATTAAGTAAAGATCATGTTCCATGAAGATATTTTGTAAATTTCCTACCGTAAATATATCTAAACTTCATTTTTGATTAGTAATATGCATTGCTAAGAACTTCATTCGGACAACTTTAAAGATGATTTTCTCAATATTTAGATTTTTGTGCACCCTCAGATTCCAGATTTTCAAATATTGTCCTATCCTAACAAACCATACATCAATGGAAAGCTTATTTATTCAGCTTTCAGATGATGCATAAACTGCTCAATTGACCCTTTTGACTGGTTTTGTGCTCCAGGGTCACATATTAAAATGCATGTCGTCGGCTTCTCGTGCTGCAGAAAGTACCTTTGAAAGAATCAAATCTCCGAGCCAGCGGACGCAGTCCACGTAGTTCCTGTGAATGTCTCGTGTGGAAAAGTCTGGGAAGTGAATCTTCTGAGACACGAAAGGCCTGAGAACGCAGGTAGGGAAGAGGGCTGAATGCACTGCTGAAGCAGAGGACGAGCGCTGGAGGAGGGACGAGACTCACCGGTTGGTTTTGCTGGGGTTATACTCGTACGAACCGCGGATGGCTTTCTGCATCCTCTCAGAGTCGATCCTCCACAGCTTCAAGGAGTGATCCATCCCACAGGACATGATCTTCTCACCAAGCAGGTCAAAATCCTGCAAACACAACAGAAGCATTTAGTGACACAATAACTAACTTCACGATGTTTCTGTACTCACGAAGTTCAAGGCTTTTTAAGTGAAGTGTGTTTTATTTTTATTGTATTTAAAACAGGATTTCTTTAGATAGGATTTGACAATATTTGCTTAATGTTGTTCTGTAGGTCTATATACTGTTCGATGAGAAATAAAAGCACAAGTATTATATGTTTTTGGGTGGTGTAGCCTACCATCATCAGTCTTCGCAAATATACACGATCACGACGGTGACAGACAGTGATTAACCTCATTCTTTTGTCTCGATACAGAGATAATTTGCATAGATGGACGAACATAATCACCTGATCTTTTAAATGTGTCCAATAACATTTGCATTAAGCACACAGTTTGCGCTTGTCTATAGATTACATTTACAAAATGCGCTTACAATAGAAATTAGATTTTTTTAGTGAAAGTAAAGGTCCCTGATTAATGAAATTGTTAATGAAATGATTGAGGAAAAAATTATTTTATTGTTGTTCAGTTTAGTTTTATTACTTTCATACATATTATACTCATGTACAGTATTTTGTTCTAACAGCGCAAATAAACAAGCTGTACATGATTCTTTGGTTCTTTTGTAGTACAGGTATGGTGAGGTGTACTAAAAACAGACATTTTCATGTGTGTCCTCCAAATGAACACAACCTAATAAGTTTATACAAAGAAATTCATTCTTTCCTTCATCAACTCTACGCGAGACGCAAAGTTTGCTACTTCTTCTCACTGCTGTTTCCTGATAGTTTTTAGAGGGCAATTACTCCGAGTCCTTTCAAAGAATTGTACAACAGCGGAGCCAGGCGAAAATATAATACATATATACAGAAACGCTGCAGTGATTACGATCATACTGCAGACTGACAGAAGCAAATCTGATCAACACCAGCCACGATACACTCACCGCGCTCAAGACCTCGTCGCGATGGCCCTCGACGCCTCCGAAGATGGCCACCAGAGTGTCTGTCTGAACGTTCCAGAGCCGCAGCGCGTGATCTGACAAACACACGGCAAACCATCAACAAACCTGCTCTGAACGCACCGCGCGCCGCGACATCTGCGCTCTTTACCTTTACTGACCGACAGCAAAAGGTTCGGGTCCCTCGGGTGAAATTTGAGCTCGTTGATCGCATTTCCATGACCGACATAATGCTGCAAACGACATGAAGAAATCAGAGGAAACACACAAAGACATGAGTGTAGACACACAAAGAAATCAGCGTAAACGCACAAAGACATGAGTGTAGACACACGAAGAAATCAGAGGAAACACACAAAGACATGAGTGTAGACACACGAAGAAATCAACGTAAACGCACAAAGACATGAGTGTAGACACACGAAGAAATCAACGTAAACGCACAAAGACATGAGTGTAGACACACGAAGAAATCAACGTAAACGCACAAAGACATGAGTGTAGACACACGAAGAAATCAACGTAAACGCACAAAGACATGAGTGTAGACACACGAAGAAATCAGAGGAAACACACAAAGACATGAGTGTAGACACACGAAGAAATCAGAGGAAACACACAAAGACATGAGTGTAGACACACGAAGAAATCAGAGGAAACACACAAAGACATGAGTGTAGACACACGAAGAAATCAGAGGAAACACACAAAGACATGAGTGTAGACACACGAAGAAATCAGAGGAAACACACAAAGACATGAGTGTAGACACACGAAGAAATCAGAGGAAACACACAAAGACATGAGTGTAGACACACGAAGAAATCAGAGGAAACACACAAAGACATGAGTGTAGACACACGAAGAAATCAGAGGAAACA